AGTAATATTTATATTCAATTGTATTATTTTGAAGTACTTTCACTGAATGAATTTTTTTTGTTTCAGGTACTGTCTTTATTGATTGGAAAATTTTTTCCATTTTTGCCTTTGAATTTTCAATATGAATATCTTCTAATTCAATAACATTGATAGTATCTGTTTTGGATTGAGCAATCTTTACAAATTGAGCTGCCGAACTACATTGTTGTCCACCAAGTATTGCTCTATAGACAAGACGTTTAATTGTACCTCCCACAGCATCAACCACCCCCTTACCATGGGAGGTGGCGAAGTAATTCCAAGTTAATTCAATTTCGAGTAATACGAATTTTGTACAGAATCTTGAATATCTAATGGAAAATTTTCACTAAAATCAATCTGTAAACAAATATTTTCATTATTTGAAATTTTTTTCATTTTTTCAAAATATTCCGATTGTTGACGTTTGATAAAAACATGAGCTAAAAATTGATTTACTTTTGATTTTAAAACTTCTATACATTCACCAATTGTGCCATTAAATTCAATCTTTTTAGAATATCCATTTTCTAAAACCCATTGATACCAATTAACTGATTGTGTAAAATTAGTAACATAATTTATTATTTTATGTTCCAAGTTATTTGCACATAAAGAACATTGACTAAACATACATTTTTCATTTGTCTCGCAACAAACAAGTGTTGATGAAAATGCTTGTAGTGAATGTAAACCAGGGCATGGAATATATTTTGATAATGGTTTTATCAATAAATTTATATTTTCATGGTAAACACATAAACAACTACGGTGTGTCATATGAGATTGAAGAAGTACATTTGATGGTCGAAGATCACTAAATGATCCTAATGATAAATAAGCATCTATATGATCATGTTCACTTAAAAATAGTCGATGTGCTTCACGTAAACTAAATAAAAGAATTCGTTTTTTGTATTGTTTTTGACGTGCCATTATCATCTTTGATTGTAATAAAATCACGTTTACCAGGTAACTGGTAACTGATGTCATCCCGACTATAAAAATTCATAACTAATTGTTTTAATTCAATTGATAATGAACGTTGTTCACGTTGATGATGAGATGTTGTTTTTGGAATAATATTAAATTCTTGTGCAATATGATGAATTACACTAACACATCTATTAATATCTTTTGGTAATGATTGAAGAACACGTTTGACTGCTTTACCAAATGACTGACGAGATTTATATGATGATGATTGTTTATTATTTATACGTTCAAGTTTTTTTCTATCACGATATTTTTTTGATGCTTGTTTTTGTCGATTATGTAACTGTTGTAGTAAATCACTATTTAAATGTTGACGTCTTTTATTATCACGTATACGAGATATTTTTCTCATTTGATCATACTTTGATTTATTTTTTAATAAATTTTCACGATAAAGTTTTTGTCTTTCAGCATTTGTTTTAGCCATTTACTCAGTTACTGTAGTATCAATAATATGTATTAATATTTAACAAATTCAAAAGCTGATGGAGAGTTTTTAATCGATGAAAGTTCAATACTGTTTTACAAAATACAAATATTTAGATTATTTTAGAATTAAAGATGATTAGCCTAANATTAACTGATTGTATAAAATTAGTAACATGTTTTATTATTTTGTTTTCGAAGTTATTTGCACATAAAGAACATTGACTAAACATACATTCTTCATTTGTCTCGCAACAAACAAGTGTTGATAAAAATGCTTGTAGTGAATGTAAACCAGGACATGGGATATATTTTGATAATGGTTTTATCAATAAATTTATATTTTCATGATAAGCACATAAACAATTACGGTATGTCATATGAGATTGAAGAAGTACATTTGATGGTCGAAGATCACTAAATGATCCTAATGATAAATAAGCATCTGTATGATCATGTTCAATTAAAAATAGTTGATGTGCTTCACGTAAACTAAATAAAAGAATTCGTTTTTGTATTGTTTTTGACGTACCATTATTATTATTAATTGTAATAAAATCACGTTTATCAGATAACTGGTAACTGATGTCATCCTGGCTATAAAAATTCATAACTAATTGTTTTAATTCAATTGATAATGAACGTTGTTCACGTTGATGATGAGATGTTGTTTTTGGAATGATATTAAATTCTTGTGCAATATGATGAACTACACTAACACATTTATGAATATCTTTTGGTAATTATTGACGAGATTTATATGATGATGATTGTTTATTATTTATATGTTCAGCTTTTTTTCTATCACGATAATTTTTTATGCTTGTTTTTGTCGATTACGTAACTGTTGTAATAAATCACTATTTAAATTTTGACGTCTTTTATTATCACGTATACGAGATATTTTCAATACTGTTTTACAAAATACAGATATTAAGATTTTTTTTTAGAATTAAAGATGATTAGCCTAATTGAAACAATATATTAATTTGGATTGGTCTTTTCATTTTTATTGTTCATTATTAACGCGGACCAATCAACCATAATTTTATCACAACTTCCTAATACTCAATTATAAAATTAATTATCCGTAGTGAATAGTGATCTTTGAATAGTAAATCAATGTTCAGAAATGTCCCTTCTCAAATATGCCAAAACAAAGAAAAAGGTAAAAACGTCATCGCGTTACGTGCAATAATTCTAAAACAGAATCTTTTCGGATGAAAATACGTGCAGTAGATAGCCCGTAAAAAACTAGCTTTAGGTATGTATTTTGTATAAAAAAAAAGGATGAGACTAACCAGTGAAAAACAAACAATACTCACTTTTCGTTACGCGGTGACGCTATCAATTCGGTACTTTTGCTTGATGCGGTAGTAAGAGACTGTAGCAAATGGGAAATCGGTTGTTTTGCTAAATGATACTTCTNATCTTTTAAAACCCATTGATACCAATTAACTGATTGTATAAAATTAGTAACATGTTTTATTATTTTGTTTTCGAAGTTATTTGCACATAAAGAACATTGACTAAACATACATTCTTCATTTGTCTCGCAACAAACAAGTGTTGATGAAAATGCTTGTAGTGAATGTAAACCAGGCCATGGAATATATTTTGATAATGGTTTTATCAATAAATTTATATTTTCATGATAAGCACACAAACAATTACGGTATGTCATATGAGATTGAAGAAGTGCATTTGATGGTCGAAGATCACTAAATGATCCTAATGATAAATAAGCATCTGTATGATCATGTTCACTTAAAAATAGTTGATGTGCTTCACGTAAACTAAATAAAAGAATTCGTTTTTGTATTGTTTTTGACGTACCATTATTATCTTTAATTGTAATAAAATCACGTTTCTTTTGGTAATGATTGAAGAACACGTTTGACTGCTTTAACAAATGATTGACGAGATTTATATGATGATGATTGTTTATTATTTATACGTTCAACTTTTTTTCTATCACGATAATTTTTTATGCTTGTTTTTGTCGATTATGTAACTGTTGTAATAAATCACTATTTAAATTTTGACGTCTTTTATTATCACGTATACGAGATATTTTCAATACTGTTTTACAAAATACAGATATTAAGATTTTTTTTTTGGAACTAAAGATGATTAGCCTAATTGAAACAATATATTAATTTGGATTGGTCTTTTCATTTTTATTGTTCATTATTAACGCGGACCAATCAACCATAATCTTATCACCACTTCCTAATACTCAATTATAAAATTCATTATCCGTAGTGAATAGTGATCTTTGAATAGTAAATCAATATTCAGAAATGTCCCTTCTCAAATATGCCAAAACAAAGAAAAAGGTAAAAAACGTCATCGCGTTACTTGCAATAATTCTAAAACAGAATCTTTTCGGATGAAAATACATGCAGTAGATAGCCCGTAAAAAACTAGCTTTAGGTATGTATTTTGTATAAAAAAAAAGGATGAGACTAACCAGTGAAAAACAAACAATACTCACTTTTCGTTACGCGGTGACGCTATCAATTCGGTACTTTTGCTTGATGCGGTAGTAAGAGACTGTAGCAAATGGGAAATCGGTTGTTTTGCTAAATGATACTTCTGTTACCGTATAATCAATTGCTCTCNGTGGCCAATTTCACCTCATTTTTAGACACGGTGCACATCTGTATTTGCTAATTCTACCCTAGCTACGTTGAAAACTCAATTATTTGAAAATGCTGAAAACTTAAACCGATTACGAAAAAAACGAAAAGGCAAAGTGCATTGTATTTATCCTTCATCGTATCAAATACTTTTAGTGGTTGATGAAAAGAACATGTTCATCTTGTTTTTTTGAAAGGATATGCTTAAAAAAAGACAATCTGTTGCATCAGACGACGGCCTTCAGAAAAATGCTCAACAAATTTGGTCATTTAATTTTTTAGTGAATCTGTAGAAACATAATTTTTGATACTCTTGATGATAACATTTGTTTGTTGTTCCTAGTTTCCTAGACTATCCCGTCTAAGGTTTTCACAACGGTAATTAATTCATTTTGTCTGTGTGTCTGTCTGAAATACGTTCAGGTCTCGCAGCGATATTACTTTCCTGATTTTTCTTGATTTATTCCAACAGGACTATATCTAAATGATTATGATGCATTCATTTATTATAGTCAATTTATGTTTCGAAATATATATAAAAATATTTGTAGAATATCTTAGACAAAAAAAAGAAAGATAATGTTCAAATCATATTTATTTCAGGTACTTATTTTTTTCTGTTTTTTCGTAATCGGTTTAAGTTTTCAGCATTTTCAAATAATTGAGTTTTCAACGTAGCTAGGGTAGAATTAGCAAATACAGATGTGCACCGTGTCTAAAAATGAGGTGAAATTGGCCACTAACCGTAATTTTTTTCATATTTATTGCGCTATAATGTTTCTTGGAGATAATGTTTCATTTCCGAACACTTACGTAGTAATAACAATATAGAGTTGAAGATACCATGAATGAACACTTAATTAGACAAGATGTAGCAGACATAAAACGGATAACACATAATGAATGAACCATTTTTGTTGTTTTTTTAGAATACTAAAAAGTTTCTAGCAAATTTATTCTTACAGAAAAAAAATATAGAATTTTTTGATTTGCACGAATATAAAGTCCATAGACCAAAAGATATTATTTTCATATGCAAATCAACTGAATATAAAGAGGTACAAAAAGCAATATTGTCTTTATGTACAACAAAACTGATTTCAATAGTTATTATTTGGATGATTTTATTGATTGATGTGTCTGGACCAAACCTTTACTTGTGGTTAAAACTGTTCTATAAGTCAGCCTATGTTGTTCAAATGGTGTAGGTGTAGATGTGGCTGTGCGTGTAGGCGTACGTATGGATTCATCTGATCTCTACTTACATCCACATCCTGAGTCACGTTGTCATCAAGTATGCTAAAAATGATATATTATGTTGAATCTAGAGTTTAATTAATTAAGAACATCTCGCATTGACAAAGTTTGTTAGGAAGCAATTCTGTTTTTCTCGTTATCACATTATTTGATAATCAACAGTGAAGCATTCGTTCAAATGCATAGCTGATTCATTTACATACATGTACAGAAAAATAGTTGTGTGTATTGATGGTCAACATTCACTTGTGAGATGGGTGTGGGTATTCTCTTCATTCATGCACTCACCCACACCCACACCCTATTTCGGTTGCAGAAATACATGCTAGCTTGTTGGGATCTTATTGAACGGAATATAGATTTGATTGATTTGTCAAGAGTGATGTTGATTGCTTGCCGAACATAAAATAAAAATAATCAATTGGCTGTAGTTCATTATGAGTAGGTGGTGGTGGCATATTGTTAGCAAAATCAGCTGCGGAAGCTACAAAATCTTTTTTTTACCTACTGCATTCTTTTTTCTTTTTTAATTTTTGATGACTTTCAACCTTTTCTTCACTTGCACTTATTGAAAAATTTTCACTCATATTCAATTCGTTTCGTAAAGCATGTGTGTCACCTTATTCAGTTCATCTTCAGACTCAGATGAATCCATCTCATCTTCACGTTTGACATAACGGCATTTCTTTTATTTAATCTTTTATCAGCCATTAGAATATTCAATCAGTAATATTTTTCTTTCAACTTATGATCACACATAAAGAGAAAAACTTATGTGTATATATAAGCGTAGAATATGAAAACGAAATGTATATAACGTATAGAATATATCGTCTATCTATCATAGCCTTCGAGAAAAGAACACGGAACAAAAGAAAAAGAAAATAGTTTTCGCCAATATATAATATCTGTGACAGATGGGACAACTATTCTTTAATGTAGACAGGCAAAGAATCAGAAAAATAATTTTCTTTGTTCATAGAACACAGACAAACTATATTATTTGCATAATTTCTAGATTTTCTCGAATAATACAAATTGATACGAATTTTATCATTTTGATTTGGAAAATACATTATTGCATATCATAGTCAGATCATAGAAGAATTATTTCTTCTCCAAGCATATGTAATATATACTTACAGAATTATGATAGAGCGTTTTTATTTAAATGTTCGTGGAGAAAAAAAAGATTTTAGAAATTTTTGTCTCTTTTCGGTCGGATGTTCCTAACTCGCGACATCGTCGAATTTCATTATCCCAACTCAATGAATAATTCGTATTAGGAGTGCTATATAGAGCAACTGTATTAAGAAATATTATCAACGAGTCATCTCTGACATCAGGCATTCAGACTTGCAGGAAAATTATTTTAAAGTTTCAGATGCATTTCAGAAAAACTGAGCCACTATTTCAGAGAGAAACTTTTTAAAAATCTTTATGATATTCAACACACGTCAAAATCTATTATAGTAATTATCAAAACAATACATAGGATCACCTTAAACGAATCTTTCTTCATATATTGATTGAATGTTGCCAAATGGCAATATCGGGCAGGAAATGGTTAAAGAAACTAGTCGATTCTCTCTTGTTCTCCTTTTTCTCTTCAACTATTAACCAAGGTGATTCCTCTCGCAGCTTAAAAGTGCCTCAATTTTCATAATGTTTAAAAAGGTAAAAAGAAATCATAAACACATACGAGGAAACAAGTAGCAAAGGGTTTTGCAGCATTAAACGCTATGAAAGTTATGAAAAAAATGAAAAAAACTGCATTTGTAACCATGCATTGTAACACTTCTTGTGATAGTCAAATCTTAAAATTACATGTCTTCTTTTTAAGCATTCTTTTCTTTCATAGTGCTTCTTTCATTTATCACAGGGAAAAAGCCAGCATGACGTTATTAGTGCGCAACGCCATGCAGACTTCATTGTTGTCGTTAGTAAATGAATGAGGATGGTCCAGAGTTGTCCCCAGTTCAATTGCAACGGTTGGATCGACTGGTCTTCACCAACGTTTATCTTGTGACAAGTGTAAGTGTGGGTGTGTGGGTATAGGTATGGGTGTAAGTGTCACTGAAGAGAATACTACACCCACGCCCCATATTCAAAGTCATAATGCCTTCACTCACCCACGCCGACACCCACCCACCCTTGGGAGACGTATCTTCCGGGAGTACCCTGGGCCCTACAATGAATAAAAACCTTTTTACATGCAGAGAGACTGGAGATGCCACATCTCTCTGTAAAGAAGTAAGGTTAGAATCATAGCTGAGAGATGGTTGTTATTTAACGTTGTTTGGCATATCAAGCTTCTCCACATGCTTCTCCAGTTTCTCCGATATTCTGGATATGTGACACTGCTGGGTTAATAATCACATTTGCTTATTATACAGTAACCTGTTATGTTATTGATCATAGCGATAGTTTTGTTTTCAAGACATCCACTCGTATTTCTATTCAGTATGCTGTGACCCCACTTTCTTAATTCTCTAAATCAACATAAAGGATGAGATCCCTAGTAGCTCGTATTTCTATGCATATATATATATGCTTTAAAACACTAAATGGAACAATAACAACAACAAAAAAACAGATCAATTTTCATCCATGATTCATGTTGGGATATGTATTATGGCGCAGTATATTGTTGTTTTGTCCTAAACAAAATATATTTTTTGAGACGCATAACTGGTAAAATGAGATATTTGCAATAACGTAAAAAAACTCATAACAAATACTGTTGACTTTCTCAGCTATATAAAAAAAGACAGTTTGGTCTTATATCAAACTACTCATTTTCTGTTCTTAAGCTGATTATGAATTACCGATTGATAGGTAGCGTGCTAATTTTACTGCGCATTAACTCGATATTTACACGAACACTGTATGAATGTGATCACTATTCAGTCTCTTGTGGATGTGGTCGTCACAATGTTGAACTCACATCATCAAGAATTGTTGGTGGTGAAGAGGCAATACCCTTGAGCTGGTCAATGATGGTTTCCATCCAACATCGTTCATCTCATAAACACTTCTGTGGTGGCTCTATTCTAGCAGATTCATATATTCTTACAGCAGCTCATTGTGTTGATGGTCAAACCCCAGATCAAATATTAGTTGTCGCTGGTATTCACAATAAATCCGACGAAGATGGCCTGATTCGTCGAGTTGCTCAGATTTTTGTTCATCCTCACTGGTCATCGTATCAAAACCAACATGATATTGCAATTTTGCGTTTATCGCAGCCACTCGAATTCATCTATAACCGATTTCTAACACGAACATGTATACCACATGTCCACTGGCCTAATAATATTCAAGACTATCCATCTACTAGCACACGGCTAGCAGCTATCGGTTGGGGTCGTACAAAAATGAATGATAGTGTCAGTTCACCAGACAATCTTTTACAAGTTGAAGTATTCACAATTGATAACAATGATCCAATCTGTAATAAATCACTCTATGATGCAGAAATACAATTTTGTGCTGCACTCTATGAAGGTGGCAAAGGTTAGTTTGAACTAATTTGTTTCTCTCACCCCCAAGATTTCTTCTCTTATTCATTTTAGATTCTTGTCAGGGTATGTATTTCGTAGTCTATTATTGATTGCCATTAACAATTCTGTTTGATTAGGCGATTCCGGTGGACCCATCTTACAATGGCTGGGAGATCGTTGGGAACAGGTAAAACAATGTTAAAATAGTAATTATTCTGTTCAAACTGAGTCGTTTCGTTTTTATCTTACTTGCTCGCTTGAATATTGAGTGTCAGATACCTCGTACATTCTTTCTAATTCTGAGAAAATGTGTGAAACAACAAAGCGATATGTTCATTTTTCAATAATGGCAAACGAATCATACAGAGTTTGAAGGCAAATATTATCATTTCGACTAAGTAGTTCAATGTTGAAAGTGTGAGCTTATGGAGGAAGAAAAGCTATGGGATTTCGTTGTTTTGAATATTGACCTATAAGAAAACTGTGATTTTTAGGTAGGTTTAACTAGTTTCAGTCAAGGGTGTGCCGTGGCAGGTGATCCAAGTATTTATACACGATTATCTTACTATAATCACTGGATTCGGTCGATTGTGGTCGACACTGACATCCGACCACCAGTGACGCATACATGTGATAATGAAAAAGTATCATGCGGATGTAGCTATACAGATGTTGAAATTACACCATCGAGAATTGTAGGCGGTGAAGAAGCTGTACCCTACAGTTGGTCATTTATAGTTTCTATACAGCATCTTTCGATGAATGATCATTTTTGTGGTGGTTCCATTTTTTCAGATTTCTATATTATTACAGCCGCTCATTGTGTGGTTGATAAGTCACCATATGATATACAGATTGCTGCTGGTATCCATAATAGGTCGGATCCAAATGGTGCAATCCGTGAAGTTGAACAAATCCATATTCATCCAAACTGGTCATCATCATCGAGTGCCCGTCTACATGATATTGCACTCTTACGCCTCTCTCATCCACTCGATCTGCGCACAAATCCATTGTTAACACGAGTATGTGTGCCCAACGTGCAGCTGCCTACCCTTGTTGAAACTTATCCAGCTAATGGTACACGTTTAACTACAATCGGTTGGGGAAATATAAGACAGAGCGTGTTTGATAATTCACCAGATAATCTTCATCAAGTGCAAGTATTTACAATTGATAATAACGATCCTATCTGTAATAAGTCACTCTTTGATAAAGAAGTCCAATTTTGTGCTGCAGATTACGAAGGTGACAAAGGTCAGTTGACTTTATTCATTTTTCTCTCATCACTGCTATGTGTTTGCTGTAGATACCTGTCAAGGTATGTATTCCATAGTCTACCAAAGATTGTTGTTATGGATTCTGTTTGATTAGGCGATTCTGGTGGACCCATTTTGCAATGGCTGGGCAATCAGTGGGAACAGGTAAAACGATGTTCACCTACGAAAACAGAATAAAATCACTGAGCTACTTTTGTAGAATAGATTGTTGAGAGAGAATCGTAAACTAATGTCTTTGAATACAGATGTAACCTATATATTTGAAATTGTTTCGAATTCTTCCCCACTTATAAAAGAAGTATATTACCCTCTTAAAATTTTTCATTTGTTGAAGCCGCTTCTTTGACATCTTGCAACTATGCTATAGACTACTCAAGGTGATCACGAGTTTTTCTAATAGAATAAACGAGATTCGCACTAAATACTTGCAAATTGTTTGTTTTTACCTGACTGAATGTGATCTGGAAATTTGAACATAAATTTTACAGAGAAAATGCCAAGATTTATGTTTATCGAACAACATGAATCATTTACAGAAGCAGGGTAAAGTATTTTATGATATCGTCCTAAAGAGAGATCTAAAAAGTGGATGTATAAACCCTAAATGAGTATTTGATTCGGTATCTATAATCAAAGAATATTTCTGATGTGTGCAATGCGAATCTCACCATCGTCGAACTTCAACGAAAATAACTTGCTTTTCACTGAGAAAAAATGTTTTTTTAGGTGGGCATCACAAGTTTTGGTAAAGGATGCGCTGTGAAGGATAATCCAGGGATATATACACGATTAGCCTATTATTATGACTGGATTCGTGCGATTGTGAACGAGAATGCAACTAAACCGCGAGACCAATACTACTGTGATAACACTTCAGTGTCCTGTGGGTGTGGTTATAAAAATGTTGAACTCACATCATCAAGAATTGTCGGTGGTGAACAAGCAGTAGTCTACAGTTGGTCAATGGTTGTTTCGATTAGTGTCGATGATTCTCCTTATTATCATTGTGGTGGTACAATCGTTAATGATTCCTACATTCTTACAGCGGCAAATTGTGTAAATATGTTATTTCCATCAGTAATATCCGTTAGAGCTGGTGTGCATAATCATTTGAGTACCATGGGGTATAAACGTCGAGTTGATCGTATCATTATTCATCCAGAGTGGAATGCATCAGATCATATCCATCGAAATGATATTGCTCTCCTGCATATTTATCCACCATTGCAACTTGACATTTGGAAGGATGTGGCTCAAACATGTATACCAGAATTGAACTCATCATTCAACATAGTTAACTATCCACCGACAGGTACAGATTTAGTCATTGTCGGATGGGGTATAATGCAAATGACACCAATGATGTTATCCAATAATCTTCGACAACTGCGTGTATTTTCAATGGATAATGAAGATCCGATTTGTCGACAATGGATTCATGATCCTAGACAACAATTTTGTGCTAATTCGTTGAATTCAAGTAAAGGTTTGTTGTTGCACTCGACTTTTGTGAATATTCAAATCAAATTTTATGATTTTTTTTAGGTCCACGTTATGGTATGTATGAGATTAGAAAACAAAAACATCGATTTCTTTTGTAATTCATATTATAGGCGATGAAGGTGGACCGGTGATGGAATGGAAAGGCAATCGTTGGGAACAGGTCAGACAATTTATGGTTGACTTTTTTATATTTCTTTGACATTTTTCTTCCTCTAGGTGGGCATCATTAGCCGTACCCAGTTGTCCGAACAGAGTGGTCTAACAATTTATACACGACTGGCTCACTATTCTGTTTGGATTGAATCTGTAATCAATACATCCTGGATTTCATCCACATCACGACCGCCTGTTGTCTATCGATGTGATCGAACATCAATATGCGGTTGTGGTCAAAACGATGTTGCTCTATTTCCATCTCGAATTGTTGGCGGTGAAGATGCTGTCGAAGGTAGTTGGCCAATGATTGCTTCCCTTCGTTTTCCTGATGAATCTCATCGATGTGGTGGAACACTTCTATCTGAATCATTCATTCTCACTGCTGCTCATTGTTTTGATGAGTTATCGATGCCAAGTAGAATGAATATAACTGTTGCTATTGGCATAACAGATCGATCCGATCCAAAACAAATCATACACAAGATCGATCAGATCTACATACATCCAAATTATTCAAATCAAAATCGTGAACACCATCATGATATTGCTCTGTTACGTGTCAAAACTCAAGTCGTTTATACTAACAATCCACGCTTGACAAAATCTTGTTTCCATCGAATTAATCCATTATCTTCGATCATTGAACACCCAAAAAATGGTTCACGATTGGCCGTTATTGGATGGGGTGTATTGACAAGTGAAACTTCGTTTCTACCCAAGATGCTTCAGCAAGTCGAAGTCTATACAATTGACAACAATCATCCGACATGTTTGAATTCTATTGTTGATCTACAAGCGCAATTCTGTGCAGGAATTCTAAAAGGTGGCAAAGGTTAGTATACCATCATGACATTGAAAGTAATCACATAAGTTTCATATACTCTAATTAACTTTAAATATAAATACTCTTATTTATATTTATATTTTTAGATTCATGTCAAGGTAGGACTTTTGTCAGTGTTTTCTCGTTCTAAATTGCTTTTAGGCGATTCCGGTGGACCCATTCTCCAATGGACAGGAAACTACTGGGAACAAGTAGGTATTGTCTCGTATGGATATGGTTGTGCAGATCCTGACTATCCTGGCATTTATACTCGATTGTCATACTATTATGACTGGATGAATAATATCCTTCGAAGTCATGGCGAACATCTGGAACCATGGAATCAAACAACGATATCTTCAACTCTGACGACAAGCACTTCACGAGCTACAACAACAGGTTCATTTGCAAACAAAATGATGTTATCATCAGTCCATGAAACGATCATCGTGACATCTTTATTAAATCTTTTTATAAGTTTTATATGATCGATGTTCATATAATTAGAACATGATTTTCTGCCAGAATTTGAAGGATGTGGTGGATCTGGGTGAGTGAGTCGGGTGTGGGTGTAGGTGCGGATGTTAGTGTGAGTGGGTAGATGTGGGTGTTGATGTGAGTGTGAGTGAGTAGATGTGGATGTGGATATGAGTGTGAATATGGGTGTGGAATGTGGATGTGGTGAAATCCGAGATCAACACCCACACCCATATTCAGAGATTTCAGAATTTAGTCGCTAATCATCGAAGTGTCGCTGCAAATCTAAAATATACAATGTCCAAGGTACGGGGGTGGCAGTCTTCATATTACAATGTCAAACGAGGCTTATGTTTATTTCATGTTTAAAGAAATGTAAGAATTCACCGAGTTTTCTACTAGTTTCGGAAAATTTCATGTAATTTCTGAAATGTCCAATACTTTGCAGTCTCGAATGCTACAATTACACTAAGAAATGATATATATGTTTTTAAGATGTATAAATGGGCATGAGCAGCTAACGGTCACCATCGTATTCGAAGGTTTGAACTCAGAAAAGTGAAAGAAAAGTACCTCTGCCATCTTCAGTACAGTATCGTCAGATTCTCAAACATGTTGTAAGTTGTGACATACCTTATTGGTGAGTGATAGAAACCCGACCTTTCTTACATTATACATCTAAAAAGCAAATTTATTGACTAATTTCACCAAAAACGCATGCTTTTGAATTTTTTTAATTGCATTTTTGTTTGAAAACTGGTCAGCAGTTTTTATATGCTCTCCTTGTGAGAATAAAACTTAATTGCTAAAACGATAAAACTATCTTTGTACTACTTGTCGATCAGAAGAAAGATATATTTTTATCGGAATAATTTGAAAATTTCAGGTCCTTAAACCTTCGAATTTGAAACGTCAAAAAATGACGAAACTCCGTAACGGACAGTATTTTTTAGTTTTTTATTCGATGCAGTCATGGTTGTTAATGAATGATCTGATATTCTGAAACCTTGTGAAAAATTGAATAACGTGTGTGTTATGCTTTTAATTGTATACCGTTTCGTTTCGAGTAACATGCAAAATTCTCACCTCGCCTCCAAAAATGTTTCCATGTTTTGAAATTCCATAATGGTCAGTATTTGTTGAATAACTCGACTGCAACTAGAGAGAAACTGATGAAATGTTTCTTGATAATAGATCTCAATAATCTCTATCTATGATGAAAATTACAGAGAGTTTTCCTTTGTCATTAATGATATATAGATGTTGCATTGTAAAAAGATGAAATTCCGTAACGCTTGGCCATGGCAAAATAGGAATTTCTATAATTTCCAATATCTCACGAGGTAGAGTGGTGCAATTGTTATAGAAATAATTAGTTATATATACGCATGCAAAATCTGGATGTGGATGTGGGTTGGTGTTGGTGCGCGTGTGGGTGTGGGTGTGCACATGGGTGTTGATGCAGCTGTGAGTGTGGGTTTGGATGTGGGTGTGGATGTGGGTGTGGATGTGGGTGTGGATGTGGGTGTGGATGTGGGTGTGGATGTGGGTGTGAGTATGGGTGTGAAATGTGGATCTGATGAAATCAGAGATCAACATCCACACCCACACATGGGCCGGGCTGCACTGACTCAAAGTTTCGATGTGCGGGTGTGAGTATCGGTGTGACTGTGAGTGGATGTGGGTGAGTGCGGGTGGGTGTGGGCGTGGATTGGTTTGATTGTGTGTGTGACTGTGGGTTTGAATGAGCCCTGTATTAGGAGTCAGTTCCCACCGCAGACGCACATCCACATCATATGGTTTTTTGATTAAAAATAGAATTGAAATAGACTTTTTTTCATCTTTGTTTTTATATGGGATAGATACAATAATTTGAATAGCAGTCAGTGATCATTGTTGCTTACGGTGCACCGATAACTGGTGAACTATCTTCATCGTGGCACCGCTAGGCGGTCCTTTATCATCTTTCAATAGGGTTTGAGAATTTCGTGAAACTCTTTCTTTCACAATGGTGACGAGGGTGTGAGTGTAGATGAATACAAAATCCACACTCACACCCTGATGCTATTTTTAAAAATTATCACTGAACATTCATGCATATATAAAAGTAACTGTGTAAGATTGTCAGAAAAGACCATTTTAAAAAAGAACTAATCATATCAATTTTCTGTTGACATTTTCTAAAATGAACCGTAAAATACATCTCGTAGTCGGTCGTCGGCGTTCCGCTGGACCACCACTCCTGACTGTCCGATTTGGTATATGATGTGGCAATAACTTAATGTAATGCTTCATTCTCTTGTTAAGAACAGCTTTCAGCGGTATCGAAGAAACATTTGAAAAATAAACTTTATATTCACATGTTGGACATCAACTCTTTCTGTAGTGAATAAAATAAGAAGATTAATAAACACAAAAGCAATCGAGTTGACATTTTAGATGATATAGTAGAAATGGAACTCATGGATATACAATACTGATTCTCGCAAAACAAATTTGTCAAAATTCGTTTCTCATAGTCCGTACCAAGTCATTGAAGATTTGTTGTATGACCTCTTTGTTAGATATTTGAAACATCCTAAAATTCTAGTCCTTTGAATTATTCGAACCAATAAATGGCATACTTTCCTTTGATACGTAACACTTGTAAAAGTAAATATTATTGTAAAAAGCAGAAATCTAATTATATGTTTGATTCGGCACATTTCCAATAAAGACTCATTAAATAATTTATATATTATCCAAAGTGGAAACAGGTGATTCTAGGATGTGGGCATATTTCCTTTCGACTGTCACACTCGTAGGTACATCCATACCCGCGTGCTCTTATCATATAAGACACGAACTCAAGTCATTTGATTGTTCATAGATGAAAGATCCTTTTAAGAAATATCTTCCAATTCTCTATGATCAACATTAGAAAAGTGGCAAAGCAGATTGTTTTACTATATTTATGTCAAATAATATTACAATAGAAATATAATTCATTGAATTTCATTCAAAGTGACTGAAAATAATTATTGTTTTGTTGTTCTTCGGAATTTATTGACATGATATCTTCTTAGTGCATGATTGTACAAGAGTTAATTGATCATATTACGAATGTGACTCAAAATAAGCAAAATGGTGACTACTCGTTGAATCTTAAGTGAAATAGTCAAGCCGGTGCAGTTGATTACTGCTGTAATACAGATGGGCGTCCAGCCGCCTACAAATATGCTAACCATGAGAAACATATGTTTGAGAAGATGCGTATCGCGACGATAAATAGTGCTTCTTAATGAGTTACAGTTTATCGGCTGAACTCTGCGAAACGATTGAGTAGTACGTCTAATTATGACTGCGTGAACAATTAAAAAAAATTGATGGTAATACCAAAATAATTATTAACATGTATATTTGATAAGTGAGTAAGAGGCCCGTTAAGAGATAATACTAGAAATGAAATAAGAAGATGTAGTAGTAAACGTGGAAAAAGGTTGTTAGCGCAGTTTCTTGCATGCTAAAATATGGAACTCAGATATGTTTTTCTTCCTCATTATATTACTACAACATGCGTTAAGTGAAAAATCCCTAACAGACTAGTTGTTTTCAATATTAATCGATCGTTGAGGAAATGAATTTTCTCCTTTTTTCTTTAGTGACACTCTGTTTTTTATTTTTCTTATTGCTATTCGATCATTATTTTTCTTTTATGTATTCTATTTTTCTTAATTTATAACTATTATTATCTTAATCGTCGATTTGCGGGGCAAATACGCCTGCTGTACACATCTATTATATCTACAGCAAGTCCCAACGCACTATTATATGTGTTGACAAATTCACAAACACTAATATGGATTATTCATCAAATCTATAATTTAATTAATTCACTTCTTTTTATGTTAACCATATGACGACTATAGTAAATCAATGCGTCACTACCTATTATCTTTGACATCTCGCATATATTTTTTCATTGGTGCAAAAATTAGAAATTGCATTATTTAGAACATTAACAAGTATTTTCCAGTTATTCAGATTTCGAGGAAGGAATGTGAATGTTTAAGAATTTTTTAGAACAGTGAAAAATCTTGTTGTCAATGCTGTTCGAAGCCTTTTCCCGTAGCCATAAAGGATGATGGAGAGGGCGAGGAGAGGAAAGGAAGCCACGGAGCTTTCACTTAAAACTTACACTCTCTATATTTTTCTTTGAACAACATAATGTGAGTTCTAGAAAAAAAAACGTTCTGAAAAGTAAAACATTGTCAATGTTGACTTATAAGCATATTAATATTCAATTGGCATTCTCCATACACACAAGCATTCGATCAGAAAATAATCTATCAAAAATAAAACTCGTACCTGAAGGTCTGATGCAAACATGGACAATGGTAATATCACCGCAATGAACCATTAAGTTTCGATAGAGACAGCTATTCCTCATTTTGTACGAAAAAATATTCGTTGCCCATAGATGATTGTACAAAGATATTTTTCACATACAATACCATCAACTTAAACAACACTAGGAATCAACTGAGGATTATACTTGATTATGATTGAAGGAAGCCGATCTAGACATACTAGTTATGCAATCAGAATAAGTTTAACTACACGTATGGTCTGAAAGATAATCATAAAATAAACTTCTGCCAAATGTGCATTTCGTTAGTCATCGAATCAGACTTCTATTCTCTGACACAAACGAGTATTGATATAATGAAATACCTTACAATACGTCACGATGATGCTTAATTATGTGAGACAGAAGGTTGAGATAGCCAAAAATTTGATCATTTAATACATGAATGGTGTTAAAGCCTATTTAGTGATACGACACACAGCGAATAGGTAACTTGGCAATTCAACATTGTTTCTCGATAAATTATAGGCAAACAACTTTGTGGTGTCCATAGTATATTTGATTTAAAGTAACTTATGATAAAAAAGATAGTCCAAAATTCGGTTCCAATTATGGCTGCCACAAACATATTTAGAGTAAGAACATGATTCTTTTTGTGAAATCGAGGAATACAACTGATTGAAAACGTATAAACGTATCCGCTAAGAAAAATTACAATTAGAAGCGTAAAGCAAATAGAAACGGGAAAAGTTCGAGTTGATGTTCCTGCATTGCAAGATGTTGTTTATTTTCACAAATGAAATCCAGAAAAAAATATATGAGTACATCTTTTTATCGGCTTGCCCAAGCGTCACGCGATGACGTTTTGGCTGCAGTTTTATTAACTTTTCTCAGCAATGAGGTTGTCTAGAAGACTCGTCCTTTCGGTGGAAGATGTACCTCTGTCTTCCCCACAACCTCTGAAAATATGAGCTCGTTTTAAAGAGGCGTATGAAAATTAAAGCAAAAATAGATGACGTAACGCGATGGTGAACAAGGGACAAAAAGTTGAGGGTGACATGATTGCTGTTTATTTTCCTGCGAATTTTCTGTTGTATTAAAAGGAATCTTCTATAGGCCTTTCGTAGCCGACAGTTTGAGGTATCCAACAGATAAAAAAAGATTTTTAAACAGACTTCTTATTTTGAAGAGGGATCGGTTTCATTAATGTAACGCGATGACGCTTATTTTTTTAATCAAGTTTTTCGCTTTACTTGCTTTTGTTAGAAATGTAGATCTGTGTTCACGATAAACACATAAACAATTGCGGTGTGTCATATGAGATTGAAGAAGTACATTTGATGGTCGAAGATCACTAAATGACCCTAATGATAAATAAGCATCTGTATAATCATGTTCATTTAAAAATAGTTGATGTGCTTCACGTAAAGTAAATAAAAGAATTCGTTTTTGTATTATTTTTGACGTGCCATGATTATCTTTGATTGTAATAAAATCATGTTTACCAGGTAACTGGTAACTGATGTCATCCCGACTATAAAAATTCATAACTAATTGTTTTAATTCAATTGATAATGAACGTTGTTCACGTTGATGATGAGATGTTGTTTTTGGAATGATATTAAATTCTTGTGCAATATGATTAACTACACTAACATATTTATTAATATCTTTTGGTAATGATTGAAGAACACGTTTGACTGCTTTACCAAATGATTGACGAGATTTATATGATGATGATTGTTTATTATTTATACACTCAAGTTTTTTTCTATCAAGATATTTTTTTGATGCTTGTTTTTGTCGATTACGTGACTTTTGTAATAAATCACTATTTAAATTTTGACGTCTTTTATTATCACGTATACGAGATATTTTTCTCATTTGATCATACTTTGATTTATTTTTTAATAAATTTTCACGATAAAGTTTTTGTCTTTCAGCATTTGTTTTAGCCATTTAGCCAGTTACTGCAATATCCACAATATGTGTTAATATTTAACAAATTCAAAAGCTGATGGAAATTTTTTAATCAATGAAAATTTAATACTATTTTACAAAATACAGATATTAAGATTTTTTTTTAATTAAAGATGATTAGCCTAATTGAAACAATATATGAATTTGGATTGGTCGTTTCATTTTTATTGTTCATTATTAGCGCGGACCAATCAACCATAATCTTATCATAACTTCCTAATACTCAATGATAAAATTCATTATCCGTAGTGAATATTGACCTTTGAATAGTAAATCAATATTCAGAAATGTCCCTTCTCAAATATGCTAAAACAAAGAAAAAGGTAAAAAACGTCATCGCGTTACGTGCAATAATTCTAAAACAGAATCTTTTCGGATGAAAATACGTGCAGTAGATAGCCTATAAAAAACTAGCTTTAGGTATGTATTTTTTACTAAAAAAGGATGAGACTAACCAGTGAAAAACAAACAATACTCATTTTTCGTTACCCGATGACGCTATCAATTCGATACTTTTGCTTGATGCGGTAGTAAGAGACTGTAGCAAATGGAAAATCGGTTGTTTTTCTAAATGATACTTCTGTTACCGTAGAATCAATTGCTCTCAATTATGTATATATTCATCACAATGTTTCGATAGAAGGGTTGGACTAATTATAGGGTCCAGATGGTTATGCTCCTATACATATTTAGTGACACCTTTATTAACAATTATCAAATATGATTTTCAGCACTTATTAAAAGAACAAAATATATTTCTCTATACTATAGACTGTGCTCTATAAGGTAGCAATGGCGGATTGATGAAATGATGACTTCGAATTCTTGGTCAGCGAGGTGACGCGTTACGTGAACAAGCCGATATATTAATTAGCTGATACGAGAAAGAAGAATTGTCATTGACAGAAACAATGAAGGATAGATGAAATAAGCGAAAACAAGGGAGAAAACAGACGAAAGGTGTGAAGAGATTAGAAAGGAAGGAAGGAAGGTGGAGAGGAAGGGGAAAAGAGAATAGAAAGAGAGAGAAAAAAGGAAGAGGAAGAGAGAAAAAAAACATAATTTCATAAATCTGTTTTAATAATTCGATTTTAACTCCGACTTAAAACTATGAGAAGTAAAAAAATATGGACTTTTATGACTCTGGAGATCTTTGATAAATTTTGATATATCTCAAAGAGAACTTACGATTCGTATATATATTTTTTTTTTATTTATAAAATGATTCATTAATAGTACAGCTGCTTTTGCAGTGTTTTCGGAGATTACCGTCCATTTGTGTCTCTTTGAAACATCTCACTACTCGTTTGAGTAGATCAAATATCGCCTTGCTCTTGTCATAATAACCAGGTAACGAATCATCATTTATTAATTGACCAAAAACAGCAGCAGCCAAGGAGGTGCATGTAACGCACCAGCTATTCTGCTAACTTGTACTTTTGTCTTACCTAAAATTGATCCCAAACCTTGATCGGTTCCATACGCTTCTCGAATTTGAAGAGTATACTCATCAAAAACGTTGTTAATGATCTGTTAAAATAAAATAAAACGAGAAATCCAGATTATAGAAAAAAATATTGTCCGAACACAATGTCATATACGATAAAACATCATTTATTTTTTAATACTATTTATAGCCTTAAGATAGCTGTTCAATAACTCAATTATTATCTCATTCTTTTTCTAGTGACTGGAAAGTCAACTTTATAGCTCAGCTAAAATAGCTGCTATCAATAAAAGCTAGTATACCNTAAATGATCCTAATGATAAATAAGCATCTGTATGATCATGTTCAATTAAAAATAGTTGATGTGCTTCACGTAAACTAAATAAAAGAATTCGTTTTTGTATTGTTTTTGACGTACCATTATTATCTTTGATTGTAATAAAATCACGTTTACCAGGTAACTGGTAACTGATGCCATCCCGGCTATAAAAATTCATAATTAATTGTTTTAATTCAATTGATAATGAACGTTGTTCACGTTGATGATGAGATGTTGTTTTTGGAATGATATTAAATTCTTGTACAATATGATGAACTACACTAACACATTTATGAATATCTTTTGGTAATGATTGAAGAACACGTTTGACTGCTTTACCAAATGATTGACGAGATATATATGATGATGATTGTTTATTATTTATTCGTTCAAGTTTTTTTCTATCACAATATTTTTTTGATACTTGTTTTTGTCGATTACGTAACTGTTGTAATAAATCACTATCTAAATTTTGATGTCTCTTATTATCACGTATACGAGATATTTTTCTCATTTGATCATACATTGATTTATTTTTTAATAAATTTTTACGATAAAGTTTTTGTCTTTCAGCATTTGTTTTAGCCATTTAGCCAGTTACTGCAGTATCAATAATATGTGTTAATATTTAACAAATTCAAAAGCTGATGGAAATTTTTTAATCAATGAAAATTCAATACTGTTTTACAAAATACAGATATTAAGATTTTTTTTAGAATTAAAGATGATTAGCCTAATTGAAACAATATATTAATTTGGATTGGTCTTTTCATTTTTATTGTTCATTATTAACGCAGACCAATCAACCATAATCTTATCACAACTTCCTAATACTCAATTATAAAATTCATTATCCGTAGTGAATAGTGACCTTTGAATAGTAAATCAATATTCAGAAATGTCCTTTCTCAAATATCCCAAAACAAAGAAAAAGGTAAAAAACGCCATCGCGTTACGTGCAAAAATTCTAAAACAGAATCTTTTCGGATGAAAATACGTGCAGTAGATAGCCCATAAAAACCTAGCTTTAGGTATGTATTTTGTATAAAAAAAGGATGAGACTAACCAGTGAAAAACAAACAATACTCATTTTTCGTTACGCAATGACGCTATCAATTCGGTACTTTTGTATGATATGGTAGTAACAGACTGTATCAAATGAAAAATCGGTTGTTTTGCTAAATGATACTTCTGTTATCGTAGAATCAATTGCTCTCAATTATGTATATATTCATCACAATGTTTCTATAGAAGGGTTGTACTAATTATAGGGTCCAGATGGTTATTCTCCTATACATATTTAGTGACACCTTTATTAACAATTATCAAATATGATTTTCAGCACTTATTAAAAGAACAAAATATATTTCTCTATACTATAGACTGTGTTCTATAAGGTAGCAATGGCGGATTGATGAAATGATGACTTCGAATTCTTGGTCAGCGAGGTGACGCGTTACGTGGACAAGCCGATATATATTGAGAGAAAGTATACATTTAGTTAAGTTTTTTTTCAGTGTAATGAATATTTTGTTTATATAAAGAGGATTTTTGGTCTTTCTAACGACCATTTTGAAGCATGTAACTGTTGATGAAAAGAACAGAACAAAGAACAAGAAATCTTATGGAAAAACAACATTAATACGAAAAAACGATTACATGTACGGTTATATCATACTTATTTGAAAATGAATTACTTCGTGATTATAATTATCCAGTTAGTTTTTAGTGTGTTACAATGTTATTATGTACTGTTACAT